ACCAACGAACTAATATGTGGAGTAACGGAAGACGGAAGGGATTAGATAGAAATGAATAAATTATGTAAAATAAATCAATAAAGGGTAAATATGAATTTTAAAATATAATAAAATTAATGCTGGCTAGCGACTATGCAGGAGAATGACCACTTGACACTCAAAGAGGGACTCGGCCAATTTGCATGCCCTACAGAGACCGTAAGATATAAGAACTAATGACAGGAAAACCACCAAGAAATAAACAGATGAAAGATAAAGTTGCTCTACTGAATGTTTGGGAGCCAGGACGTTAAATGTTTTCTTCCGAGATATCTTGTATTGCTGAAATATGAAAGATAGGTACTAATTGAAATATTAAATTTTTAACCACAACTTTAATAATTACCAACTTATTTCCAGACTATTTTAAATGCTTATATATTACCCACCACCTCTTATGTACAGTAACAGCTATATTTACAGTAAAATCCCTGAATATAATTATACAACAATTTACCCCTAATATACCTCTTAATTTCAAATGGTGACAAAAGTTATACTCAATAATAATGTATAAATAATAAATATAAAAATACTACTCACTAATAATTTAGTTTTCGTTAATTAAATGTTTAAATTTTCAAATGAAACTCTCCGGTTATGTGTGCACACGATAACCTAGCAAAGAGAGATTCAAGGGAGAGTTATAACCTCATCCCTTGGTAGACAATAAATAATTGAAATTAAGTTATAATGACTATTGTTTTAGAAAAAAAAAGATATATATTTAAATTAAAGTAAACCAAAAGTTAAAACCTTGAAGAGGATGTAGCAAAAGTTATATAAAATACTTGACTGACAAACAAAAAAAATCAAAATAAGTTCTTCCTGCCGGTTTCCGTAGGTTGCCCTGGAAGATGATCCGGTGAAGAACTAGACTCCGGTGGGTAAAGGTACACCAAACCTGGATTCCATGTATAAAAAAAATTCTTCTTTAAATCCCCATATAAAAGCCCATAAACTTAAAATTTCTTACCCTTTTCTTAATAAATATAACCCAAAACTAAAAGTTTCTTTCCTGACTTGTGACTGGATTCCAGAAGTAGGCGGCTGAGGTGATCCAACTGAAAGTATCCTCGTACAAAACACCCAAAATACCTTAAATGGTTGCTTCTAACTCAACAGCTCTTCATAAAAAAAATAAACTTAAACCAAATTCATAAAAAAATGGCACCTCCCAGCCGCCACTATCGAAACGATCTTCCCTCGATCAAATCCAGTCAACAAGTGGTTCTCTTACGGTTCTACAGCCGTCAAGTGGATGTACTTTCAGAATCTTACACCAGGTGGCGCGATTTAATGCCAACCTTAGAGAATAAAATTTACTGGGAGTTATTTAAATATTTAGTTTAAGAATATTTCAATGTGAATTTAATTTAGAATTAAATTAAAAGACTCCAGTCACAAAAAAGGTAAACGGTTATTTAAGTAACGGACTCGTTACAACCTTCTGTTAATGATAATGTAGTCGGTTTGATTTTTGACTACCTTTCCTTCTTGATCAGCTGGAGATTTCCAGGTATATAGTCGTCTTTTAGGTTGTTGAAATAAAGTATTTGTTATAATGCAACAGTTCTTGGTAGAACTGTATTATTCTGTGCCCTCTTTCGTTCCTTTCTCTAAGTACATACTTTCCGGTTATATCTTGTGTTATTTTGGCACCAACTTTTGCGTTGAAGTCTCCCATAATAATCATAGTTTATGTTTTTTTGTGCTCCGGAGAATTTGTTTAATTTGGTTGTAGAATTGCTCAATTTCTTCATCTGGTCTGTCAGCTATTGGTGCATAGACTTGTATTATATTAATATTCATTAATTTATTTTGCAGCTGTATCATCATGATGAGATCATTGAAAGGAATTGAAATTTCTAATACAGTTGCAAATTTCTTCTTCGACAATAATTATGACTCTTGCGTCTGGGTCCTTCTGCCTTTCCCGCGTGGTAATGTTCTCAAATATGTTTGACCTTAGCCATTTCGTCTCGCAGATACATAGGATAGAAAGGTCTAGTCTAGCCATTTCCAGCTAAATATTGTGTAACTTCGCGCCTTCAAACATAGTTGTGACGTTCCATGTAGCTATCTTGTGGACTTTTCGTGGGTTTACAATCTGAGAGGCCCCGTGGTCTGGTTGTGATCTTTCTCCCCTGCCGGATCTTGGATTCCAAAGTCCATGATCATTAAAAGTATGCATACTTTCTTTCTCTGTCATGAGAATCTGTACTAGAGATATCCACAAGGATCTTTAATGTAGTGGTTTCTCTTGGCCTTCTACATCTTTATGCCGTTGGCGAAATTTTGATTCATCCGTCTTCGGGGTCGATTTCTCAACCCCAGGACAAAAAGGTATCCAACTCCTACACCCAAAGCAGTTGGTTAGTAAGTGGGGGACTGCTTCTTCTTCTTCTTCAGCCTGTTTTCGTCCACTGCTGGACATAGGCCTCTTCCATTTGCTTCCATCGATTTCTACTTTTGGCAATTCTCATCCACTGCTTGCCCGCGACTTGTTTGATATCGTCTGTCCACCTCTTCTGCGGTCTGCCTACTCCTCGCCTGTTCTCTCTTGGTCTCCAGTTTGTTAATCTTTGTGTCCATTTTTCGGGATTATCTCGGGCAACGTGTCCGACCCATTGCCACTTGAGCCTTGCAATACGTTCTGAGACATCAGTAATTTTTGTTCTTTCATGAATGACGTTATTTCGAATCCTGTCTCTCAAACTAATCCCTAGCATGGCCCTCTCCATTGCTCTTTGGGTTGTACTGAGCTGCTCTAAGGTTTTCTTTGTGAAGGCCATGGTCTCCAGTCCATATGTAGGGGACTGCATATACCGGCAATCACTTGATAAAATTTTCGCCATATCTGGCTACCCTTACTTAGTTTAGCCTGCAGACCAATGCAGTTGCCCGGGGTGTGGCACGTGGAGCCATAAGTGAGAGCTAGGTGTCTTATGAGGACCAGTTATCAAGAACCATTTCCCGTCTATGACGCTCGATGTGGTCGTTCCAATAAAATGTACTACCTCTATAACACAACCCTACACCCCCGCTTCTTTATTAACCATAAAAAATAGAAAAACCAATTAAATTAAGACGTGTAGTTCTGATACATAACATCATCAAAAGTACCCAATTAATTGATGACTATGTTTAAGAGAAGACTTCTTTTTCTATCCGTTGGATATCCATTCCTAAACGTAAGTCTCCCCTTGGCGTTTTCATTTTAATTTGAAGATAAAAAACAAAAAATCATTTGTTGATTGCTCTAATTATAGAGGCAAAATTTGGAGACAAAACCAAGTGCTCTAATTATAGAGGCATTTCCCTACTTAATACGGCACATACAATCTTATCGAACATCCTATTAAGTAGGCTATCACCGTTTGTAGAAAATTTCATGGAGAAATACCAAGCCGGCTTCAGAAAACATAGATCGACCATAGATCAGATCTTTACTCTAAGACAGCTGCTTGAAAAAGGATGGAAATTCAATACAACTATCCATAATCTCTTCATAGATTACAGGCAAGCGTACGACAGCATTAAAAGGGAGCAGATGTGGAATGCAGTAGCAGAACTTTCAGTTTCAAAAAAACTTATCCAGCTTGTTAAGTTATGTGTGAATAGCTGTAGATCCAGAGTACAGATAGGTAACAAACTCTTAGAATCTTTCAAAATAAGCAGTGGCCGGAAACAAGGAGATGCGCTGTCACCTCCCCTTTTTAATATCACCCTGGAGAAAGTAGTAAGAGCAGCAGAATTACTGACAGTAAATGGACCAAAATTACTACTAGCATACGCAGATGACATTGACATTGTGGGAAACACAGTCACCAATGTGAAGGAGACTTCTAATAAATTGAAGGTAGAGGCAAAGAAAACTGGCTTAGGGTAAACGAAGAGAAAACCAAGTACATGTACATCAACAGATAAAAGGGACGAGATGGAATAGGGCAAAATGTTACAATAGACCCATATAACTTTGAAAGAGTGGAGAGTTTTAAATATCTTGGAGCAACAATCACTGCAGATAACCATATTGCGAAAGAGATTAAAGGAATAATTCAGGCAGCAAACAGATGTATGTACAGCCTCCACAATATTATTAAATCTAAAAGCCTAACACGAATATCAAAGATTAGAATATATAAAACGGTGATTAGACCGGTGCTCATGTATGGGTGTGAAATGTGGACCCTGACCAAAGAAACTGAAAGAAAACCATGTTTTGATAGGAAAATCCTCAGAAGAATCTTTGGGCCTTATTACGACATTAATTACAACCAATACCTAATGAGAACAAATGCTGACGTCAAGCAGATGTATACAGCGAACGACATAGTCCAAGAGATTAAATCCCAATGTCTAAGATGGGCTGGCACTAGTCTCTGCTCTAATTAATCTTAATAACTAATAACCGCGTTGCCAATCACTGACCCAACTATTATGGACAACCATTCAAGATGGAAGCAAGTTGTGCAGTCAGCCAAGACCCACTCCGGGTTGTAGTGCTACGAGAAGAAGAAGAAGAAATCCTTGAAAACGTAGGTACAGCTAGACTACTTCAAACACTTTTTTTCATAGACTACTAAAAATATGCATGTACATTTTGTAGGTGCAGTAAAACAAAAACTAAAAACGTCTCAATTTTTGTTTTTATATTATTTGAAGTAAAAAATAAAATCTTGTATGTACCACTGGTGTTACCCGATGGTTACGCTCATCGAGCAACATGCAACCCTCGGGTCAAAGTCCCTCTGACTGGATTATGTTGCTCTTTGGTCGTAATAATTTTAATGACAACCTTGGTGCATAAATAACTACTATATCACGCGACTGTAAGTAGATTTACTGAAAAGATGGTGAAAAACACCGCATAGGTAAATAAATCTTGTGTAAATACAATGCAATGTGATGTGTTGGTCTTGAATGAATGAATAACTGTTATTTTTTTTATTTTGCAGTACACAAAGAGCCTATGAACTTCTTCGATTTGGAACATGCTCCCGCAGCAATTGGAATATATGTTACCCACAAGCTCGGTAATGATTTAACCAAAACCATGTTTGAACACGAAAATTTTAAGAAATTGTTGGCTTCGAATCAAAAGTTCGATGTTATCATAATAGAACAATTTTGCAACGATGCAATGAAAGTATTAGGCTGGTATTACGATGCACCTGTGATTATGTTTAGTACAGTCGGTGCCAATTTATGGATAAATCCTTTGGTGGGGAATCCCAATCCGTTATCTTACATACCAGACCTACATCTAGATTGTTCTCAAAAAATGACGTTAATACAAAGAGTTAAGAATACGTTATTAACCGTATTTCAACTGGTTCATAACGAACTTATTTATTTACCTGCACAACGAGAAGTACTGAGGGAAGCTTTCCCTGAAAGTCCAAGTTTAGACGAGCTGATGACAAATGTGTCCCTTGTTCTGCTGAATTCTCACGAGAGTACAAGCCAGCCGGTACCATTGGTACCAAATATGATAAACGTTGGTGGAATGCATATATCTCCTGGAAAAGGATTGCCTAAGGATTTGAAAGCTCTTATGGACAGTGCCAAAGAAGGTAAGACTGTACCTTTTTATGTTCGATTCCTACTTTTGATATTTATAAAATTTGTTTTTTATTACATTTTTGTTAAAAAGTTGGTGGGCTGTTAAAGTCTGTATGGGCTCTAGATGGCAACCCTAGGTTACCGTTATGTAAAATGTTTATTTTACTACAAACAATCCATTTACTGCTAATAATATATTTAAAAAAATGATGATTAATAATAACTCATTTTTATATTGCTTTTAAGGTATTGTGTATTTCAGTATGGGCTCTAATATTGATCCATCTATGATGAAAGAAGAAATAAGTACAGCAATATTTAATGCTTTAGGAAAACTTCCGTACAAGGTAAGTGCATTTACGAACTTTGCATTATTTGTTTTGGGGGAGATGAAAAAATAGCTATTGATAATATCTTCAAATTTACAATTACTTTTTTTTCTTTAAGTGATATCTTTGTTACGGAGGTTGGCAATCATCATAGTTATTCTAATTTTTTTATATTTAGATAATCACTTCGACCAAATGGCCATTAGCGACAAACTAATAGATTATATTAATTACATAGGCGGTATTCTAGATATTTTTTTCACATTCCTCCACATTTTTTTTTGAAATTCTGTTTTATTGTTAAGTGTTTTATATCTTTTGTATTTGCTAAAGGCTTTTTGGAAGCTTCGATCGATGCCTTATGTTGTTCTTTCCACCAAGGAACTGGTTTATGTTTTGAAACAAAAGTTTTTTTGATCGCTGCCGCGGATGCATCTAAGATGATGTTGAAGAAAGCATTTATGTTTGTATTAACACTTTTGGATATTTTACAGTGTTTAACATGTTCTTCTATAATATATTCAAAGAATGTCCCATTTATTTCGTTGATTAACAATTTAACGGTGTGTTTTTCGTTTTTGGGTCCTAACAAGTTATTTTTGATTATTATTGGATGATGACCACTGTTATAAGTGTAGTAAAATCTGTCTAATGTTATTAATGCAGCGAAGTTATTATCCGCTATCGTTAAGTCCAAGGGCGTTGATTCACCTGTTTGTATATTGAATCTTGTAGTACGTCCATCATTCAATAGTGATAAGTTGTAGAATGTAGAATAGTTGCATATTATGTAGAACCCCAATTACTGTTGTAAGCATTAAGGGGAAGGTATTCGTCTCACGAGGTTAAAAGATCCTGTTTATCAATTTGTTGTCATGAGAGTAAGTAAATAGCACACATATTTATTTTTGTGGTCCCTTCTAGAGAAAAAGCTGCACCGTCTTAATGTGTTTGCAAGGGTAGTATACTTACGGTTAAATTACCATATATAAACAAGAATTGTTACACCGCCGCTGTTACACCGTTATTCTTTGGTTTACTCAATTTTTTTAAAAACTTTGACTAACTTATATATGGCGAATACTCTGACTGTAGAATTTTTAATATCGGTAACTTATTATAGCATCCGTTTATATTGCATTGAAGAATTGATTTAAACGATGCCATTTTCAATTTCTAGTTGTAGAATTGTTTTAATTTTATTGAGATTCTCGGCTTGTGTCATATAAAAACTCAATTTCGTTGTTGGTAGAAGGGAGTCATTTAGGTGTTTTGTGATTTTTTTTAGTTTGGTATATTTGATTTTGAGAAATCTATTTTCCGCAAATCGCCAGGAAATTTTGACATTCCTGTCAAAATTTCTTAAAGAAAAAGTCAGGACTTCCTTACTGTAAGGAAATGTCATTTCCTTACTGTAAGGAAATGATATTTCCGTACTGTTAGTGTTCTACATAAATGATAGAAAACACATTGCTTATAAGGAATTAATTTATATTTTGAAAACATCAAGTCATTGCTGAATACATTTTTAAGATCAATTTGTTATATTTACAGTAATTTGACAGTTAGTACAATTATTGAACATTGGAAGAACACTCTTAGAACTATGAGAAACATTTTGGACAACATGCAGGGTGGAAGTGTCATTTTGTTGAATATTTTGTACTGTGAAAATTTTATTTGCCACCTCAACCTTATTGTTAAGCGATTCTTCGATATATCCTTCAGCAACGTTTGATGACTTCCATCCGCCATGCCTCTTTAAACTAGTTATGTCGGCACCAGAGTCAACCAATATTGTTGCAGAAGACCGACGAAAGCAGTGACCAGTATATTCTGTCGGATTTACCAAGTTCAAATAAGTAGCAATTATTTTGGACATTTTTCTAAATTGATGAATTCCTACCACTTGTCTACAACCCTTTCCGCTTTGATATTTAAAGAAAAATCGGTCACTTTTCATATTTTCTGGTCTTAACGAAACATAATTTCGATAAACATTCAAGTAGATCTGATTAATTACAAATGATCTTGGTTTGTTGGTTTTCGAATCAGGTATGCTGATTAAAAGCTTAGATTCTAAATCTTCTATATCGTGTACAGTCATTCGGACTAACTCATCCATTCTACAGGCCCCAGAAATACCAAATATTACAGCCACCAAAAAAATAAATAAAGCTATAATCTAAATAGAAATTAAAACCTTGTAAATTACCCTAATCATTAAATTTTCTTTATCTGGAGCTTCCTGGATCAATTTTTCAATTTCTTCCTTCGTTAAAATCTTAGATTTCTTTGCCCTATAACCTTGAGCTTGCCGTTTCAATAAAGAACGAAGTTTTGAGTATGTAGATATATCTACATTGTGTTTAAGTGCAAGGGTTGACTTCAGCATTGAATAATTGGCCCATAATGTTGAAGATTTCATCTTTAAACAAAGGTCTAGGAAGTATGCCATTACAACATTTTCTGAGAAAGAACTCGTATTTTTACTCATGCGATAATCCATAAAACGTCTGTATGCATTTTCGTACTTTTCTCTTGATTTCTTTGGCAATAATTCTAATGAAGCAGTATTCACTGCCTCAACCAGCTCGGGAGGAGTCCCAGGAATGGAAATTTCATCATCACTTATCATTTTACTTTCGAGAACACCAGCAATTAAATTTATAAGCGTCAAGTTTGACAATTCAACCTCAATACGTTTCCATAGTAACCCAAGTAATTTTATTAGGAATTTCAAAGCACCATTTATTTGGGAATAAAATTATCGCGTTTTTTTTAAATCAATCAATATCTGTCGAATTTTAAACGATTTGCGGAAAAATAGTATGTTTATCTCGTAGGAAAAGCCACATTCCTGGACTCTGTGTTGCTAAGTCTCGGCTTGCGCCTCGACTTAGCAATCTTCACAGTCGTCCAGGAATGTTAAGCTTTTCCTACCCGGTTAACAATGTACTATTCTTATGTGGGCATATACGTTAATAAATCATGTATGTAAATTGTTATAGTGGCGATAATATCTGGAGAACCTTGTGCATTTTCTAGCATATCTATAAATTGGTCGTAGTTACTGCCAATTGGCGTAGTGATTTCTTATTAATTACTTTTTTAATTAGTAGCTGAGGTTTTCTTGGGTTTTTTTCACAGGATATTGTTGTTCATAAAACTTATTTCAGTATGTTTGTCTTTTTCTGGCGGAACTGGCGTACTTGATGGTGATGGTGTTAGAATTTCATCTAGTCAGCTTGTCTGTTGAGTAATATCTGGTGATGTAGCGCTGATATTTTCTACAGGTGTAATGGTATTATTGGATTCTTTTGGTTCGATATTTTCAGGATTTGTACTGTTTGTAATGGTTGTAGTTTGCTAATTGGGAGGTTTTTCTGTGGTGTCCATTTGTAAAAGAGTCTTTAACGATGTTGAAATAGGTAAAGGTGTGGGTGATTTTTGAGGATTCCTAAGATTTTTACAATTATTAGCGTTATGACCTTGCTGTTTGCAGTTAAAGTACAGCTGGTTGTTTTGAGATAAAAAAATTCAATACGAAAATAGATTCTGTTAGAGGATTTATAACAGGGTTGATAAATACTTGTCCTGTAAAACTGTAAATATGATTGAATTCCGGCAAGGTAGAGCTAATACGAAGAAAGATCATTAATGACATAATTTTAAGACCTAGATTTTCTAATTCTTTAATAACAATATCATGTGGGATTGCATTGCATACATTTGATAGAATCTGTTGATGTAATATAATTTCTAACTTGAACTGGTTCATAATTTATTAATATTAAACCATCATGTACATGCATAAAGTTATCCACGATTTCTTTGCTCTCTAGATACATGCATACTCGATTATTGGATAGCTTTGAAGAAAATCAAATGTTTTTGGGCTGTATAAGTGCTCCTAGTGGTATGACATAACCTTAAATCCAAACAGTGGTTAGGTTTAAATGGGTTAAACCGTACTTGAAAATATTAATTTATCTGGCAGTATGACGGTAAAATTATATTGAACAGGGAATATAAGTCATTACTCAAAAAAGTTTTCTACATCCGAACTGTAGGAATGTTAAATGTCAACACATTGGGGACACTAGAGGAATCTAAAAGCCTTGTTTAATTTTCTAATTTACCTCAGAATTTAGCAAACATAAGCTTAAATTTTGAATTGCTAGTTGAGGACACAAAAAAACTTTTTTTAAATGCAATATTTATGAACAAGACGATAGTAGTTAAGTCTGCATTACTGCATATATTAGGCATTTAAAAATGTTTGCATATATGCGCCAATTTTATGCATATATATGTGCATATTTGCTTTATTCTCTGTTGCTAATAAGTATGTTTAAAATAATATTTGCAGGTTTTCGTAAAATGGCCTAAAGACGTCCCAAATAAGAATAAGAATATTGAAATACGATCATGGTTCCCACAACAGGATGTATTAGGTGAGTAAGATAATGTGCCAGTCAATATATCAACTACTCTAAAATAGAGCTTAAACTGTACTATACTTAAACTGGAACAATTTTCCAGATTACGTCTTTCTTGTAATGGCTCCTCTACACATCGGCAGACGCGTCCGCGGACGACATCTACGTATGCATCTGGAGATGTGTAGATGGGGTAATTTGATCATCTGTTGTTTATATGTCACGTCCGCGGATGCGTCTGCTAGATATCCGATTGTTGTCGGTTTTTTAGCACAGATCAAAGAGTTTCGGTGCGAACGTCCGACGCCTTTCCACACATCTGACCTCTGACTTCTTCTTTTCCATTTTTTAATGATTCTATTCTGATGTACACTCAAGTAGTAGTTGAACGTTTTAAATATATAAGGCATATAGTTGCGGCAAGGTTGTGGTGATGTTATGGTATATTGTGCTATCCATTCTTCTCTCTCCTGGGCACAGTGTGCTGCCTCAGACAGAGAGTAACCACTAGCGCACTTTATTTGGTCTGACCATCGGAGTGGCTATCTTCCTCGAGTTCTTTTACCGTCTACCTTGCCTTCAATCACCAATTTCTCCATGCCTTCCATTCGTCTGGTAATGTGTCCAAAGTACCTCAATATATTTCGGTTTATGATTATGGTAAGCCTAGTATTGATGTCGAGATCTGTCAATATTGAGACATTTGTGCGATGTGCTGCCCAGGGTATGCGCATCATTCTACGATATACTCACATTTAAAAGGCTATACGTCGTACGTCGGACTTTTTAATGGTCCAAGTTTCTGATGCATAGGTAGTGATAGGAAAGATAAGCGTCCATACTAGACGCAGTTTGTGTTCCTGGTTATGTCCTTATCTTTCCAGATTTTATTAAGTTTGACCGTTGCTGATCTGGCCATTGTAAGGCGTCGACGTATCTCTTCTTCGCATCCATTGTTTGTGATAACAGAACCTAAGTAATGGAAACTGCTTACCACTTCAAACCCCGCTACGTTTCATATTTCCGGCTGGTTATTTCTAATTCGATCGATGATCATTACCTTGGTCTTCTGTACATTAATTTTAAGTCCATCTTCAAGACTAATAATATCTAGTCTGTTCATAATGTATTCAAGGTCACTTTTTGATTATGCTAGTACTAAAGTGTCATCATCATAGCGAAGATTGCTGATTTTTCGGCCTCCGACTGATATTGCTCCTTCCAATCCGTCGAATACAATGCACATGATGTGTTCGTTATATATTGAATAACGTGGGAGAGATAATACATCCTTGACGAATACCGGCTTTTAGTTTAAAATTATCAGAGTATATGTTGTTTAGTCTTACGTTTGCTGTGTTATTGTGTAGCATTTTAAATTTTATTGATTCTTTGAAGTATATTTAAAGTCGCCTCGTATATGAAATCGTCTTAATAAAACGAAGAATGTTTTCTGTTTTTTAGTTCGTATCTTTCGAAAAGTGTTTTCAATCATTCTAACGTCGTAGAGTAATAAATCCATTTAATTGTTGTTTATTTTACTGCGGCGATTTCTTTTCATGTAAATGCGTCGCAAAGGAAACTACGTCGCATTCTTATAAGTGTTTGTTAAGATTTGCGTCCAATTTTTGCGGAGAAAATCTCTGCTTTACTCTCGTTTGGACCGCGTTCCAAGGCGGTTCAGCGTTATGTCATCAGCAAATTTTTCGTCGAATTTGTAAAGTGTTCTGTTTTCTTTTCTTTTCATGAAGAATTTGTAATGTCCTTTTGTTCTTCGTTATGGAAAATAATTTAAGTAGCAGTTAAATGTGGCAATTTAAGGTATAATTATAGTCCAATTATACCTGTCCCTGTTTTTTTTTAAGAGGCAGAGCCATAAGTTTTGTTCAGTGCCGGCTTTGGCCTCAAATGGTCGATCCAATTCACAGTGGAGATGATTTTGTTCGTGTGTTCGTGTCCAGAGAACCCCAGCTATGATTTCAGAAACTTAATGTGTGATCAAGTGAAATCCAGGTAACTTTTTAGGTGTTTGTTTAATTTTAAAGTGAAGACAAACATTTTTTTAAAATAATAATTGCTTTCGTTTTTTTTTAATAGTAAATTTTTGGTTTTGAGTTGAGCTGTCAATTTGTTTAGTTTTTTTGAAATTTAATGTTAATTTATGACAGCTCGTTTTATTATTTTTTTGATTTGTGTTTTGTTTTTTTTTAAAAGGTTAACCTCCATGCAATTTTTTAAGTTTTGTGGCAATGGAGTTTATTAATGGATGACACATGTAAGTTTTGATATTTGTGTATTTTGTGACTGTTGTAATATTTTTGTATTTCTCCTTATAACTGTTTGTGGTGACATAAATAAAGGTTAAATTTTGTTGTCTTAACTTTTTATTTATTTTTTTGAGCTAAACCTTTATTGATTTTTATTTGAAAAAGATATGTTTTTTTATGTTGATTTTTTTTCTAATTATTTCCCTAGTTACAACGAGTGGGTTGTAATAGGCATAATTAGGCACCTCAAGTGGCGCCCTATAATCAAATTTCTTGAGGTGTTTTCTGTTTAATTTTATTTTGTTTATCCCAAAAGCCCTTTATTTCTTTTTGTTGTAGTTGCCCCATTCTAACCCCCATTTTACTTATCCACGACCCCAGCTCTCCTACGAAACCCTGAGTGTCCGTTCGCACAAGTAACGTATATTTTGCTTGCCCTATCTTCACCCCCTTAGTTTCTTCCCCCAATTTTCAATCTCCCGTTTTAATGCCCCCTGTGGTAGGCAAAATATTATCGTTACAATTGATATACAATTGTTTCAGTAGGTATATTAGATGTTCGAGGTTACCCATTTCTCTCAGTATTCCCCACATTTTATGCCACTTTACATTATCGAACGCTTTCGAGTAGTCGACGAAGCACAAATATGTTAATAGATTAAATTCTTTAGATTTTTCTATAATTTGTCTGAGATTAAGAAATATTTGTTCTCGTGTGCCTCTTCCAGGGACAAATCTATATTGTTCTTGTTAGATCTGTGGTAGAAGTATTGATTTTAATCTCTCGTTAATTATAATTAGCAGAACTTTACTTGCGTAGGAGATCAGGGCTATAGTGCGGTAGTTATTACAGTCAGTTGGTGAATCTTTCTTATAAATGGGTATGAAAGTGAGCTTACACCAATCATCTGGCCATTGTCGTGTGCTCCAGATTTCATTACACAGTTTCAACATTACTTCAGTTCCCATGTCTCTCATTTCTTTAAATGCTTCCACCGTGATTCCGTCTTCTTGAGATTTTCAGTTTTTAATTTTTTTATTGCGGTTCCTACTTCAGACTTTAAAATATGTGGTTTCTTTTCGGCATTTATTTTTTCTGGATTCACGTCTTCATGGTCACTATGAAACAACATTTCACAATATTGTTTCCATGTCGCTGCAAACAATTGTCTAGATTCTTGAAGGTCGGCGTGTCCTTGCAGTTGTTTGCATATTTCTTTAACATGATTATTTTTGGAAAACATTTTACAGATTACTTTATTTAATTACTTGTTTCATTGTTTATCTTCTATAAATTTCCTTCGATAAAATTGGCTATATTCTTATTTTTTTGTCAAACAGGGAACTACTGACGATTATTAACACGCATGTGCTTAACAGTTAATAGTTAACAGCTTTTAAAGATTAACTTCTTGAGAAGAATCTAATTTATAACTTCTCTCAAAATGGGTGCGAAAGAGATTTTGTAATTTCATACGATAGCCCTATTTAAGTAGACTCCCACCTCCCAGCGAACATAATCACTCAGTCAGACTTCGTTACGCGAGCACCTATAGTTTAGATCGTCGAAATATCTGTAGAGCTGTTTTTCTTACCTCACGCCTAAACATTCAAAAGGCGTAAGTGTGTTTCTTTTATGCTAATGATAATTTATGAGTTATGTCAATCGATTTTTTACTTATCGATCATATACATATCATTTTGTACGGCTTTAATTAATTAACAAGCTAACTCTATATTTCCTATATAAACAAAACAATATGAGTGGAGTTTATTTTTAAGAGGTTAAAGACTTTTAAAAATTAATTTTTTTTCTTAAAAATAGAATAATACTGAAAGAAAAATCACAAATGCATAAATACTTCTTAATTTAGCCTCAATAAGTTTTGTTGTTTATATAATTGAATCGGTTATTTCGAAAAGGCCACATTAATTTCACAAAATGAGTTAACTTGACCAGTTGACAGTTGACGATTATCTTTAGTACGATTAGGTTCCATCGTGTGTTGTTTATACAAAAATGAGTAGCTCTGATAGTGAAACCAGTGTCATTATTGAAAATAAACAAAGGAAAAGAAAGGTATTATTAATCGGGCCCTTTATGAAAGTGAAGTTATTAAGAACTCTAAAGTTAAGGGCCAATCCCATATTAATCACGTGGGAAAACAGGTATGGCGCGAAAAACTGGAACCGACTGTACTTGTCGCAAGAAGTGTTGTGCACATTTTTATATAGTGATTGTGAACATACTTACAAAACGGTCGAACCGCCCAGTTGTTTACATCAGGGCAAAGTCCAAAGAGCTGGAACAACTCTAGAGTAATCTTATTACACAAGAAAGGTGATAGTCGAAAATTGGAAAACTACAGACCCATCAGCCTACTTTCACACCTGTTTAAAATACTCATCAAAGTCATAACTACTCGACTAACAAGGAAATTAGACGAATACCAACCATATGAACAGGCAGGTTTTAGAAAAGGCTATTCAACTTCCGATCACCTGTTAACCACAAAACTATTAATAGAAAAATGTAACGGATACAAGTTTCCAGTTTTCCTAGCATTTGTAGACTACGAAAAAGCTTTCGATACCATAGAACACACGGCCGTAATAAACGCAATGCAAAATTGTAGAATAGACAGCAGATATATTAATTTAATAAAGGAAACTATGAACCAAGCTACAGCTACATACTACCTAAATGAAAATGAACACACGAACCCTGTACCATTAAACAGGAGAGTCAAACAGGGAGATACTTTATCACCCAAACTGTTCACCTTAGTTTTGGAGGACGTTTTTAAAAACCTAAATTGGAAATATAAGGGAATAAGCATCAATGGCTTCTACCTTAGTAATCTACGATTTGCAGATGACATAATCCTGATAGCTACCGACCTACAAGAAATGGAAACCATGCTTTTAGAACTACATACCGAATCTTCTAAAATAGGACTGAAAATGAATTTAAACAAAACAAAAGTCATGCACTCCGAAGACACCGTGACAATAATAAACGATAAAGTTATAGAAAAAGTTGAAGAATATATATACTTAGGACAAAAAATAATACTAAATAGGGAAATTCAAACTGAAGAAATAAAAAGAAGAAGAAAGTTAGCTTGGGCAGCATTCGGTAAACTGAACTATATACTCAGAAATCAACAAATTCAATTACATCTTAGATCTAAAGTTTTTGATGCATGCATTATCCCGATATTAACTTATGCAGCACAAACATGGACAATCACAAAAAAGAATATGAATATACTTAGAGTCACTCAACACGCGATGGAAAGAGCAATGCTAGATATATCACTTAAGGACAAGAAAACAAACACATGGATAAGACAGAAAACCAAAGTCACCGATGTGGTGCAAAAATCATTAAAGTTGAAATGGGAATACGCTGGACATGTAGCTAGGAGCAATCTAAACCAATGGCACAGATAAATTTTAACCTGGAGACCATACCAACACAAAAGACCCAGAGTCAGACCTCCTATGAGATGGACAGATGATCTGAAAAGGACTGCCGGGAAAAATTGACTACAAGTAGCGTACAATAAAAAACAATGGAAAGGAAGACTTGAAGAGGCTTATGTTCAGATGTGGACGTGAATGGCTAGACGAAGAAAAAGAAGAAGAAGTAAAAAATTAAACAATTTTGGAATTCAAAAAATGGTGGCTCATGCATTATAAGAAAACCGTACCCTCCATTGACTCCTATGGGAAAAAAACCAAACGTCCACGTTCATTTATCGATGGGCTTATATTTCATGAATTTTCCTTGGAAAACCAGTTGGAGTTTTTCCTAGTTTGCCAAAAGGGTCTGCTAACACAGAAAAAATCCCTATTAATTCGAAAAGAATGGACAACATCAAGAAACTTGTACAATATGTGCCAGAAGACAAAATGTTTTTTATTATGAGCTGATTTTATGGCCTACCACTAATAGTGATGAACCACCAGAGGGAGATTACTAAAAGACTATCTCTTAATCTTCAACATGTTTTTTTGCCACCTAATAATTTTTTTCCTTAATAATGTTAGTGTTTTCTATTATTAATCCTAAAATCATCAGGGTTTGTCTGGAAAAGGCCACAACTCCAAAAATTAAATTATTTTTTACAGTGTACCTATGTCTTTTTTATGTTGGATTTGTTAATGAAACTTCGTCATGCATCATATTTTAAGACTTTACTCCGAAAAGAGAAATATATCTTCGTTAATACCAAAATGAAACGTTTTTTTCGTTTCCTGTAAAATTAACATTTCTGGAGTTGTGGACTTTTCGAAATAACCGATTCAATTATAACATTTCATTAATACAGGGACATAAATATATTAAAATAACACAGATTGTTCTTAAGATATGACTTATTTATTCTATTTTTTACAGCTCATAGAAATGTGAAGCTATTTATCACTCACGGAGGTTTACTAAGTACTTTAGAGACGATATACTATGGTGTTCCAGTATTAACTCTGCCAATATTTGGTGATCAGAAAATGAACGCAGCCAAAGCTAAGGTCGCGGGCTACGGAGTATCATTGACTTTCTCCACGATAACGGAGGAAGGGTTCAGTAAAGCCTTAAAGGAAATATTAACTAATAAAAAGTGAGTCATAATTTGTTTATTTTATGTTACTATTATGATATTCATGCCCCCTATTTTGGGTTATTTATCAGGTGAAGTACATTGTTCTAAAGAGTTACATTGTAAATTTCTATGATAATATTTCACATAATATGTGAACAATTTTCTCCTAATGGGATAAGGTTCTTCCTATTTATTAAAACCCACAATTATCACCGCCGCTACTGTCATTTATTGTCTGTTGATCCAACAATTTAGGAAGTCCAAGTCGAGATAACACCACAAAAAGGAAGCAGTCGGTAAAAATAGCAATCATAATAGATAATATCCTGCAGAATAACAGGCTTTTGCAGGGCGACATAAAATATTTAATTTAAATTTTGTATTCTTCTCATAATTCTTGTTCTTATAGTATTAGGTTTTGTTTTACTATACAGAGTATTTAACAAGTTATGACCATTTTTATTTCGAAATCCCAATGAAATCAACACCATGGATCATGTATATAGGAAATTCTGAACATGCGGCGGTAGCACCACAAGCTCGAAGGCTTTTAATCATTTGGATGTTGCCTCCGTCAAGATCCAGTCTTCGACTCCATATAAAAGTGTAGAAAATACATAGCATCTCAAGACTCTTGTTCTTGTATCAATGTTTAGTGCATATTACATAAAATCTTCTTGAGACGATTGAAGACAGCTCTCACCCTTTCTATACGACATCTTATTTCCTGTGAGTGGTCCCATTCCTTATTTAGGCCGTATTTAAGATATGTAATTTTGTCGACTATTTTCAAGAGTTCATTATTAGCTGTGAATTGGTGCTGTATTACGTCGTTTTTACTTACTACAAGAATTTTGGTCTTCTAACAGTTTAATTTCATGCCGTATTTGTCACAGGCTTCCACTACACGGTTTATTAATGTCTGCAGATCCTCCGCATTATCAGCAATCAAAACCGTATCGTCCGCATATCTTAAATTGTTTAGGATTTCACCATTGATTTTTATACCTTCTCTTAAACCATCAATAGCTTTCCTGAACAACATTTCCAAGTAAGTATTGAACAACGTCGTTGACAAAATGCATCCCTGACGTACTCCCCGTTTTATCGTGAATTCTTGTGAGGTTTTGTTGTCTACTCGTACAGTGGCCCTTTGTTATATAGAATACTAGATTCTTTCAGTATCTGAAATAATTTTTGATGTTACACCTTGTTAAATGCTTTTTCAAAATCTATGAAAGTTGAAATTTCTAAACTTATATCACTTTGCAAACTAGCTCTCACACAGGTTTTCTCTCTTAGGACTTTACTCTTGTCTACAACATAAGAAGTATCTGATTCATTAATAAACCCAACATCTTGCAGTATACTTAAATCAATAGCAACCGTAGTGCGATCTGATACACCATATCGGTCACTGGTTACAGCAGTAATGTTCAATGAAATCCTCATTTTCCACTGCGGCTTGGTTGAAGAAGTTGAGGGTTCTGGTACAAAGTCTTCGTCACTGATAGGGGAAATGTCTGAATCTGAATTATTTATATGTACTTCAACATTTTTGCACGTTTCGGAAGATATAGGTCGTTTCCTTTTATACTTACTCCGTATTATTCCATCAGTTATTCGTTTGGTTTCCTTAATATTGTTACGATTTTAAATGTTATGGCATATAGAACTGTAAATATTTTATGACTAATTCTTTTTTATTGATTCTCGTAATTTGTAGGTCAAAATATACCTGAGCTTAGCTACCAGTTGTTTACCAGAAATCTCTAGACACTAATTTTAGTGAGTCATCCACGACTCGAGGTTGAAAAACGAGTCGAGCGCCTTCACCAAAATACGAGACTATTCAGGAAGTCCGCCGAATTCTCTAGAAGAAAACAGTTGTGTATATAAATGAAAGATTTTTATTTGGCAGCCAGTGATAAGAAGATCGGTAAACGCGGTATTTAAATGTAACGGAAACGTAACAAATAAATTTGTATTTAATAAGTTATTTAATAAATTAGTAATTAGCTATCGTGAGTTTTAATAAATTAGATTATAGACAATAAATTAGAATAAAGACATATAAATTAGAACTATATAAATATAAACTTCACAGTGGTGTCAGAAAAAGTGGGATTGTAGATAAATTTAATTTGATTTTTGAAAAAGACTTTTGAACTTTTGAAAGGTATTGTTCGTCGGGAACATCCGCGTAGTTCAGTAGTGATCGTTGTACGAAAGAACATTTAAAAAGTACGTGTGTGCCTGACCAAAGATGCTGCTAGTAGAACTTTCAGTGAAACAGTTGCGTGAGCAACTAGAAGAACGCGATGAAGACTGCAGCGGGTCCAAGAAGATCCTCCAAGAACGACTGAAGACTGTTCTCAACAAGAATGGAGACGACCCAGAGACATTCCAGTTCCAGTCAGCAGAAGAAGCAGTTTTAACAAAAATAATTGATGGAAAGTTTGAGAATGTCTCCAAAATGATCGAAGAGAGTTCTAAACAAAATGATAGTAAATTTGAAAATGTGTCGCAAATGATTGAAGAATCTTCTCGAAAGAATGATGAAAGATTCGATGAAACGTCTCAAATTATTAAAGAAATAGCTAGACAAAATGACGAGAAAATTGAAAATATGTCTAGAAGATTCGACGAAGTATGTATTCAGAATAGTGAGAAGTTTGAAGAAGTCTCTAAAACATTTGATAAAGTTGAAGAGAAAATCAAACAGTTAGAGACCATGATAACTAACACGAGAGTGCTACCACCAATTAATACGGTAGCTTTAGATCCGGTAGAGATAAAAGAAGACGAGACGAAATGTAAGTTGGAAACACGGCCGAAATTTGAAGGAAGCGGAGGTTATGTTCATGTCAAAGTTCCAACTTTCGACGGAAAATCGTCATGGAACAACTACATGAAACAGTTCGAATCAGCTGCAAGAGCGAATGGATGGTCAGAAAAAGAAAAGGCTGTAAACCTGACTATAGCTCTTCGAGGAGATGCCTTAGATGTGCTCCAGACCATAGCCGTAGAGGAGACGGATGATTTCGAACAACTGAAGAAGAGGTTAAATATGCGATATGGCCACGAACACTTGGAACATGTATATCAGTCGCAGCTCAAAAATCGAAGACAAAAGAAAGATGAGGCTCTTCAAGAATATGAAGTAGATATCGCCAGATTAGTGCGATATGCTTATCCAACAGCTTCCGAAGACTTGATGGAAAAGTTGGCCATTCAAACGTTTATTGATGGTCTTCGTGATCATGAGATGCAAAAAACACTACGATTAGCTCGTCACAAGACGCTGATGGATGTCTTATCTGCCGCCCTCGAATACGAGTCAGCTACGCTAGCCTCTGGCGGGTACAGTAAAGTTAGAACTGTAAAAGAGGAAGAAGACGAAGATAAACTTGACCAGCTCTTTAATATGATAAAAAGCATGACACACAAGAAAACGAAGACCATAAGACCGAAGACAAAACCAGAACGCGTCGGCCTTAGGGGAGCAGCTTCGACCCAGAACTTTACCAAAGACCCTCTGATACTAATAGCTTCTTTGAAATGTCGTGAAGATAGTGTATATGTAGATGGAGAAATAAATGGTAAAAAGCATACGTTGTTGGTGGATACCGGAGCGACAAGAACCATTATTCGCCCGACAGTTATAAACAGCCAAAAAAAACTGTTACCAACGAGGTTGCGACTTCGGACCGCCACAGGTGAAAATGCCAACATTCATGGAGAAATCCAGGTACAATTAGGAATTGGAGCAGAAAAGTTCGTCCATACTGTTATAGTTGCTGACATCGAAGAGGATGTTATATTAGGAATGGACGTAATGAATACGCATGGATTCCAATTGGATTTTAAGAATAAGGTAATCAAAGTTGGTAACGAGGAGGTATTTCTCCATCCACATGATGACAACACTATGCAAGCAGCCGTTAAAGAAGATACAGTCGTGCCTGCGAGAAGCGAAACGATAATAGTAGCGCGGCTACAGGGAATTGTGGACGAAGGAACACCTGTTATGATGGAGCCTTGGAATCATGACGACGAAGTTGGCCGTGGAATCATAATTGGAAAAGAATTAGTGACTTCGGCTAAAGAAATTCCTGTGAGACTTATTAATGTCAATGACTACCCAGTGATCATCAAGAAAGAGACAAAAGTAGGAACTTGTGTACCTGTCACATCCATAATCCGTCAGACAACAACGTCTGATAATTCCAACGATAAATTTGATCAAATGGTTGCGGTTGCTGGACAGTCTCTGAATCAGATTGAGAAAAGGAAATTAAGGGAATTTCTTCGGCAGTATCGTGATATTTTCGTACCGAAAGGAGGAAAGACGGGAAGAACTACCGTTGTTAAGCATAAAATTGATACTGGTAATGCTAAGCCAATTCGTCAAACAGCTCGACGATTACCACAGGCGAAAAGAGAGGAAGCTGAAACGATTGTTCAGGAAATGAAGAAAGACGGGGTGATAGAACCTTCTACGAGCCCATGGGTCTCTCCGGTGGTCCTGGTTAAGAAGAAAGACGGAACAACGAGGTTCTGTGTGGATTACCGTTTGTTGAACAACGTTACCAAGAAAGATAGTTATCCTCTGCCTCGGATCGATGACACATTAGACACATTGGCTGGAAGTAAATTATTTTCTACTTTGGACTTGAAGTCTGGATACTGGCAGGTAGAAATGGACCCGGTAGATAAAGAAAAGACAGCCTTCACCACAGGATCTGGATTATGGCAATTCAACGTTATGCCATTTGGACTTTGTAACGCTCCTGCGACATTTGAGAGACTTATGGAAAATGTGTTGAGAGGGTTATCTTGGAAAACGTGCCTAGTTTATCTAGACGACATAATCGTCTTGGGGAAGACATTTGAAGACCATCTGAAGAATTTAGAGAACGTTTTTAATCGACTTAAAGCTGCCCAATTGATGTTAAACCCCAAGAAGTGCCAGCTATTTCAAGGTAAAGTCAATTATCTGGGTCATATAGTCAGTA